GTAGTGTATTACATTTTAAATACATATTTTTTAACCACACTATAAATTAAATTCGCTCCAAAGACATTTTATTAATAGGGTATCAGAAGTACTATGTATAATTCTCAGAACTAGTTCTATCATGTATTTCTGGAGTTAATGAAAAAAAAACGTGTTAAAAATAAATATTTTCGTAATTTTGCCGCAGTTTGTAAATTAATTGACTTGGATAATTATCAATCCATTAACGATTTTTCGTCTTTAACATAACAACAAAATGTTGCGTGCTTAAAGTATCTAAATTTTGCTTGTATTCAAATTTAATTTTTCAGCACCGTTCTACATAGGTACATACTTATAACAACATTTATTTTCCTGAGTAAATTACCTTACAGCTAAGTTAGAATGATAAGAAACAATAAGTTAGAAAATTGTGGATAATTTTTTTCCCATGAGATAATAATTCTTTCAACACGATATGTTAATTATCAAATTAAAAAAGCTGTAAATCCTTACTAACAAAAAGATAATTCATTTCACTTCCGGGTTCCGAATGACACTGAAGACTGAACGATAAGTGAACGCTGAACGCAAGGTGAACGCAAAGTGAACGAATGGAGAGTGAACGCTGAACGCTTTGTGAACGGTGAACGCGAGCGCACGGTTAACGCTGAACGCAGAACTGTGAATGGAGAGCGAACGGTAAACGCACCCTATACGAACGGTGAACGAACGGTGAGCGAACGGAAAAATGGGAATGTAGAACGTTTCAGGGACTGTACCCTTATCACCTGCATATCGGATTTGTGTCTCCCAGAATATTCGATATGCCAGGACATGTCCTTCCTTCGAACAATTTCTAAAACTAGGCAAGCTATAGACAAATAAGTTGTTGAAACAAGGATACCAACAGTCTTGCTCAAATCTAAATCTTATACGGTTTCAATTTTTATTCAGCAGATGCGCATTTCGAAAAATTATGTCTCTTCAGTGATGCTCATGCCGAAACGTTGGAAATCCAAAATATTAAAATAATAATTTTTTTTTTTTTTTTTTTAAATTGAAGAACTGAAACAGAGGGGTGCGAAAGACTGGAGCAAAATAAGTCAAAGGATCATAGCTATACATGGTGGAAAGTAATCATATCGCAAGATCTATGGTCGATACAATGACCTTTGTAGCAAATACAATCTATTATTATGTCGAATGCTGACTGACGTTTTACATACTACTGTGGAATCATCATTGTTCGTGGGGGACCAATGTTCGTGGATTTCGTGGGTTACCCTTACCCACGAATTTACATTCCCACGACCGTTTATTTTGTAAACATATTTATTAATTGAATCTGCCGTAGGAACGAGTAACCCACGAAATTACGTCCCCTCGAACAAGTAAAATTTTGCTTGTCCACGAACATTGACCCCCACGAATTAAAATGGTTTCACAGTAATTGTTAGGCCATTAAGTACACACTGAATTCTCTATAAATTTTTCCCGATCATGACAAGGAGCACAGAACGGGTGTGACCGGTCGAGATGGGATGCTTACTCGTCCATGACACCTGATTTAACCTCTGATGTTTCTAGAGGTCCGTGTTTGTTCTGCTTCAGATTTGTATTGTTTCAATGGGCTTTTCAGCTTGATAACTGTTCGTTATCTCCATATTTTATCAATAATTGTCATTTTCATATGACAGAAAGCGGAATAGGGAACTATGTAAATATTAAAAGTCACTATCCATAAATCCATAGTGAAAATACTTAACTTTGGTATAGTCAAAACATTTATTTATCTTAGCAAAATGTTGATACTATATTTAACTATAGTAAACTATAGTGAACTATACTTCATTATAAACTATAGTTAACTATAGCTAACCATAGTTAACTAAAGAATTTTTTTTTTGTTCGGGAAGTTCAAAGTTTGAAAATGTGAAAAGGAAAAATTCAGATAGAATTTAATCTTTAATAAGCATTTTTGTCTCTCATGAAGGGATGAATGATACAACATGTCTACCAAGTAGTAAAACATTAAATGTTCACGTCTTAATGTAGACTGGAGCTTCCCGAGCAACCATTTTAATATGCTTTATATTCCTTAAAAAAGTAAATGAGAATAAAAATGAAGGGAAGTTTTCAACACCTGTAAGTGAAACAAACACTATGCACTGGCAAAAATCGAGTGCAATCGTTTGTGAGTCAAGGAAGTTTGAAATCTGACATTAGTATGGCTAATACTTTATTATTTACTAATCACGGCTTTGTTTTTTTGACAATATTTTTCCTTATACTAGTATATTCATATGTTAAAACTTGATAGACTTTTGTATCCCGACCCTATATCTGGGGGTATTGATTTGAATAAACTTTAATCTACACTTCCTGAAGATGCAAATGCTTCAAAATTGATATTCAAAAAAAATTCTCTGTTGTTCTCCAGAATATTTTTAAAAATATTATTCTATTGTAAACTTTTTATTTCAAATTGCGGCCCCTTCCTATCCCCATGGGTCATGATTTGAAAAAAATCTTGAATCTACAAAACCTGAGAATGCTTCAATATAAATGTGATTAAGCACGACTTAGCCCTTCTGATATTTTCAAAGATTTTTTACCAGCAGTTTCCCATGTAAAATTTGATTTTTTTTGTGCCCCCCTAACCCTGGAGGCCATGAATCAAACAAACTTAAATCTACACTTTGTAATTGGGCTTTTACATAAGTTTCATATTTTCTGGCCGAGTGGTTCCTAAGAAGAAGAATATTAAATGATGCTATTAATTTTTCTCTAATTTCTAATCATGTCCTATTGGAAGAGAGTTTGACTGTTCCTTTGAGGAAACATGAACTCCTTTCATCGAAGAATGCTTTACTGTATGTTTGGTTAAAATTGGCACTATCGTTTCTGCGAAAAAATGGAGAATGTTTAATGTTTGTAGACGGCAAACGAAAGTCGAACAACGGGCACCCTTGATCAGAAAGTCTTGGGCTATGGTGAGCTAAGAAAAAAATAATTCCAACATCATAAGCCTAAGTCGTGGAGTGACCGGGACAGTAGAATTATTCGCAACAGAGAATGGATCTAAATAATAAAATGGACATCAGGGTAAAGATTCAGTCATGGAAATATGTTTGAAGAAACGAGTTAACAAAGGAGTGACCAAACGTCTCAAGGTATCCTCTATAAAACTTCTTATCTCTTTCTCTTATAAATTTCATCAACAATTTTGTGATCGAATAAAACAAAATTGTTGCAATGTCATACCAACAAATTATGATATATATATATATATATATATATATATATAAATTTTTGTATTTCAAGGTGTCGATTTCAATGGCTTTTTCAGAAAATATCTAATTTTTATTTTGATTAACATTTTTATGCATAAAGGAACTAGTACTAACAAAATATTTTTTACTAGGTAACGGACAATTTCTGGAAACTTTGATTCAAGTGTTGATTTAAAGTATACTCCTGTCTAGAAGTTTTCCCAAGGTGTTTTAGCCGCGTCATGGCATTATTATGTGGCTCTCTGTCCTTATTTTGCAGAACCGTACCATCCCCCACCCTCATCTCCCAAATAATATGCTTGTAAATGGATAAATGTTGCAAAATTTGTTTACAGATACAACACTTTGTGTTACCGAGGCTAGATTCTCTTTTTTCAATACAGAGACATTGGCCCCTTTCTATATTCAATGCATGTAAGGATGTGATTCTGGTGTAATGAATGAACACATCACAGAGTATTATTTTCATACAAATCGTACAAAGCAGACAATTCGACCAGTAAGAAAATATAACACTTCGAGAGAACTGTTTGCCTCCTAATAATTGCAGAACCATGCCCCCCCAATATATATATATATATATATATATATATATATATATATATATATATATATATATATATATATATATATATATATATATATATATATATATATATATATATATATATATATATATATGAACGAGTTCAACCCCGGGCTGGGGCGGAAGTGGGTATCCTTATAAAAGTGAATTTCTTTGTGTTTCTATATATATATATATATATATATATATATATATATATATATATATATATATATATATATATATATATATATATATATATAAACACAAAGAAATTGTTTTTTTAAATTTATGAGATTTTGAATGGTATTTTGCAATCTAAAATAAAATTTTGTTATATGACCAACTAAAACCAGCCTACCGCCAGAAACAAAGAAATGAATGTAAAATTTTTATGCCTGGACATTATATTTTAATGCACATTGTTTGCAAGATGCTCGCGTAAAACAAATAACATTTTCAAACATTTGTACTTTGTATTTTCAATATATGAGGGACAAACCTAGACCAAGTTCAGGTGTCTGAAGGATAGTTTAAAGCCCTACTCATTGTATTTATGCAAAACGTAAGCCTGTATCATGTACAATTTTAAGAAAAAATATCATAGATACGGTATTTCAATTTCGGAACAAATATGCCTCACCAAACTTTTTTTTTTTTACAAAGGATAACTTACGAATTTGGTTACAAACAGCCAAATTGATTCCTGGGCTACAAGGATATGTTTCATTATTTTGTAGGACAACTAATTGTTTCTTAGTTTCATTAAAGCAGTTTATATTCTTGATAGCCAGGTGTAGAGAGAAATGAATCAAGAGTCAATAAATCATAAGCATGACAATTTGAGGGTATTTTCCAATCTATATCGTAATTTGTATGGAAACAAAGTCATTACACATTTTCCAAAGCAAGATACAGTTAGAGACCAAACTCTACTTACAGATTTCCACAAAAGATCTCATATTAATCTTTATTAGTCGCCTGCGACAGACTGTTTTATACACACATATTAATAGGTTCTAGCTCTAACCACTGGTATAAAACAGACTACTTTTCAAAATTATATATATGTATATATATATTTATCTCTTCTCCATAAAGTTTAAACGTCTTAAAGGGCAACATAGAGCGATTTTTTTTGTACAAGTGTACAGTTTAAATTGCTTAAAAATGCAGTTTTATTGATGAAATTTAGAATTACATTTTTCTTTCAACTCCAGGATTGCGTCTTATTCTTCTGCTGTCTCATCCACGAATTCCCTCATCTATGCAAAGAAAAAATAAAAGGGTATTTAAAATATATAATTAAGCTTCTACTTTTTATTCATCAACTTGACTTTTACGTACCCTCTTATAATGCTGCATGAGAGCCGAATCTTTGAGCTCATCAACAGGCTAAAATATTAAAATATAAAAGATAAATCATAATTACTGTTGTTGATGAATGGTATTATGTAATTAGTAAGCAATGGAGTTTCAATGTTTGGGATAATTTGTGGGTACATTTTTATCAAACAGCATGACTAATAGAAATTCATCATCTGATCCTTTCTTTAACTACACGCGGGTTTAAGTATGGCATGTTTGATATTTCGATGAAAGTTTCTTTACGTTCTTCGAGTTTTCATCATAAACTATTAACTTACATCTCTTATTCTAAATGATAAGATCATTACTCACCAAATCCCTATCACAAGGACATCCCAACGACCCACAAGAACAACTTTTCGTTTCTTTTGCAACTTTGCTTTCTCCATTTTGGACCAAACAGTGAAGAAGAAAAAGAAGAACCAACAACATCAGAGACCTCATCTACATCAAACAATGCATAATGGTTTTCAATACACGGATTTCTAGTCATAAAAATAATGCTTTACATTAATTTTTTTTTATTAAAAAGTTACATTCGTGAAACACATTAGGCGCCGATGACCGTACAATCAATTGAAATATTACTTACAACCTTTTTATAAAACTTTTATCAAGCACACTTTTGTTCAGGTAATAAATATGCATTTTTTTATCGAGGTAAAAAGGTATTTAGGTAAAATATTATCTATGAAGCATCTTGGACAAGAATCAAATTAACGGCAAAAATATATAAAAATTCTCTAGAATTTCCTTATTTATTATTAAGGTCTTTCGTCTTCACGGAAGACCTTATAGTGATTCTACTGTTTCTTATTAGGTCTTCCGTTATCAACGGAAGACCTATAGTGATTCTACTGTTTCTTATTAGGTCTTCCGTTTTCAACGGAAGACCTATAGTGATTCTACTGTTTTTTTATTATTATTATTAGGTCTTCCGTTTTCAACGGAAGACCTATAGTGATTCTACTGTTTTTTTATTATTATTATTAGGTCTTCCGTTTTCAACGGAATACCTATAGTGATTCTACTGTTTCTTATTAGGGTCTTCCGAGCTTCCGCTTCGGAAGACCCTTCTGTTATTCTACTGTTTCTTCTTCTTATTTTTTTTTCCGCAAGTTTTTGTCAGCTGATTTCTTTGAGATTTTTCGCCTGATTTTTTTATGAAACTTTTAGGAAAGAAACATTATGTTAAGGCCTATAAACGTTTTTTTTTTTTTTTTTTTTTTTTTTTGTTTTTGTTTTTGTTTTTGTTTTTTTTTTTTTTTTTTTTTGGTTTTTTTTTTTTTTGTTTTTTTTGTTTTTTTTTTTTTTTTTTTGTTTTGTTTTTTTTTTTTTTTTTAATTTATTTTTTTTTTAATTCTATTTACGCCTTTATTTATGAGTTATTGCCCTTTAATTATTATTTGGAGGCTATGTCCGACTGAGATCTTGGGAACTACATAAGATAGTTGTATGAAAATTTTAAGAAAATGTAGCTAACGTATTGTAGTTGTGTAAGATGTTTAAAATATTGGCTAAACTTTTCAAATTTTTATATTATTTGATGGCAAATTTTCAGAATTTTTTTTATTAAATTTTGTTGCTTTTTGTTTAATAACTTTTAAACTAAAAATATTTTGCCAAGACATATAGAAGAAAAGTTGTGTGAAATAACAAGGGCTTTCAGATGAAATCAAGAAAAAGGGGCTGGCCCCTATATTTAGGGGTCAGTACGTCATAAATGTCTTTTTTGAAATAGCTTAAAATGTTGACATTTGCTACAAAATTTTTATTTCATACTATTCGTACTAGAATACTAAATCTTTTTATTTGCCATAAAAAGAAAAAAATCATGCTTTATTTAAAGCCTTTTTTACGAAATGAATTTCATGTAAATATAAGAACAAGTTGTCTACAAACTGAAAATAGATCAACGCGTACATGCCTTATCAGGACCTAAATGTATACAATTATTACTATATGACGGCTTTCTGTCATGCTGGTACTGAAATGTGCCTATATATTTGTCACTTTAAACACCTATCTAATTCCTAAGTTACAATATCGCAAATGTTTTGGTTCCATCGCACTGGATGTAAACATTCAACGGCATTGTGGGTAGGGGACCAGCATGGCGGCATTTGTCAAAGAACCAAAAATATTCGCACTGTATGTTTGACATTGATTGCGTATGTAGGCATGCATTATATTCGATCCGCAGCTAGGCTTATGTGCAGATTAACATTTCTGAACACGTATATGGAGCATTAGTGTAAGGGATTTATTCTGAGTTTTTAAACTGAAGATCTTGTGTGCGATTGCGAGGAAATTCTATTTGTGTAGCGAGTAAGAAAAGAGTTATTAGTGATGTGTTATATTGTCTATGTCATTCCTGTGAAGTATGAACGATTCAAAAGAATTAAGGTAAAACTTTTTTATGTAATTATATTATTTGGAATATGCACAGATTGATAAATGCCAGCACGCACATGACATACATGTATACACTGATCAGCTGATGTTATCTATTTTATAGTACAGACTCAAACTGTAAACACTTTGATGATATTATCAAACTTTTACTACAATAGCTTGTCATGCTTATTAATACTTTATTAGATTTTATTTCACAAAGAATTTGAAATAATTGATTTTAAGTTGTAAAATTCAAATGGTACGGTTCAGCTGCAGTGATCATGGTGATAAGATTAAGAAAAAAATAGTGTATATTACATAGAATATCAAACTTCGTTTTCCTTGTGGAGTGTAGTTATGAAATTTATTTTGAGCACAATGCAACCGTATGTTGGGTAGTACATGGCAGACCCAAATGAAAAACAAAAACTTGTAGGTTTGTTAATGGATAGTTTTCATGGGCTGTGTAAATTTTACAGTCATGGCAGTGAATACTCTAAATATAGCTATAATCGCTGATGTCGTAACTATTTGAGAATGATTTAATAGTTTGTATGAAATTCGGTGTGAAGTCGGTTATACCAGCTTGTAAACAGCGAATGCCATAATCATGATAATTATTATGATATGTGTAAACTACATTGAATAATTTGTTTGTTAGTTGTTTAACGTCCCTCTCAAGAATTTTTCACTCATATGGAGACACCGCCGCTTGCCGGTGGAGAGCTGCAGGTTTTAACCTATGCTCGGCACTCAGGGCCATTGAGCAGTGAGGGATCTTTTCCGTGCCAGCACCTACCGCGACACAGGACCTTGGTTTATACGGTCTCATCCAAAGGACCTGTCTCCACGTCCAGTGGCATTCGAACCTGAGACATAAGGATCAAGTCCTTACTCGGTGACTCTAGAGCATTCGCTCTTATCCCTGCGCAAGCAGTAGATCTACATTGAATTAAGTTAACTAATTAGGTATCCAAATTTATTTTTAGTTGTTTGTTTTCTTTAAATCTTCACTCGCGGTTTCACTCTTCCTAGCACCTATGCCATCATCTACTGAAACACGAGACCTGGTTTTATATGGTTTTATCCATAGCTAGGATCTGTGTCTTAATTTGTCACTCAGTGGATTTGAACCCATGAACTGGAAGTATAAAGGGTTATGTCCATTTGGACTAATTATAGCCATAAGTTTTATTAGTCAGAATGAAAATGTATTAGCCTGAAACTAACGGACTAATGTAAGTGTCAAACCTTGCGCAGTGAGGATCAGCTCCTTATTTCACAACTCTAGAACAAAATGAGAAAATACTCTTAGCAACTATGCCATTTTATTCTTGAAAACAAAAAGGCATAGGTTCAACAATACACTATCCATAATACTTTAAATATTGCCATATGTCAGAATTTGATATTCTTTAACACATGTAAAAAGTCATGCAGCTTAATTAAATTTCTCAGGTATATTTCATGATCAGTGTACAATGTATATATAAACAGGAAAAAATGGGAAATGTTTTATATGAAATTTTGAAATAAATTTTAGGGATGGGAGTTGGATAAATTTTTGAAACTCGGGTTAGTCCGAAATTTTTCTCACCAAGTAACAGGTGACAGGTTAGAAATTTCGTTATTATTTTTTTTTTCAGTTCATTTTCTTACATGTATAAAACAATTTGTAAACAATGATAATAATCAGAATTCTTTACTTTCGCTAATAAACTAAAAGCTGTAATATTAGTTATTTCCTATGTCGCTTGTAACACGAGCTTTGATTGGTTACAAAGTCTGGTGTAAATTTCTGTACACCCAACTTGAGCCGGGGGTAAGAAATTTGACATCACAACGCATAATTTCTCTATGATAAAAAGCAAACATGACGTCATGATGCATTGTAGGACGTAGTAAATCTTAACGATAGCATGAAACACAGTTGATTGGACTTGTTTACAAAGAATTTATTTGGGTACATAGGAAATAAATTTGTTACCCAGGTCTAATCAAGGGTTTATCATGGTGTATGGGGATTTACCCTGGGTTTTACTCAGACACCCTGAGGCCGAAGTATCCAGGTCCAATCAGAGGTGTACGGGGATTTACCCCAGGTTGTATTCCAAACACCCTTCGGCCTTCGGCCTCAGGGTGTCTGGAATAAAACCCGGGGTAAATCCCCATACACCCTTGACTGGAGCTGGATAACTAATATTATCTAGGTTCAATCAAGGGTGTACGGGGATTTCACCCCGGGTTTTATACCATACACCCGAAGGCCGTACACCCCATACAACCTTGATTGGACCTGAATAACTAATTATTTCCTATGTAACGAATAAATTCTTTGTAAACCCAAGTCTTATCAATGGTGTTTCAAATTATCGATGAGATTTACTTTGGGCTACGCTGCATTGTCATGATTGTGACGTCATGTTATTTGCTTTTGTGCTGGAGAAATAATACATTATGACGTCACATTATTTACCCAAGCTGGAGCCAGGTGTACAGAAATTTACACCTGGCCTGCTAACCAATCAGAACTTGTGTTACAATCTAGATAGGAATAATGAAAAAAAAAAATGATTGTTTGCTGTTTTACATCCAATCAAGAATATTTCACTGATGTAGAGACATCACCACATACCATGAAGGGCTTCACATTTAGACCTAACTTGACACTCAGGCCATTGAACAGTGAGGGTTCTTTATCGTGCCAACATCTACTGTGATATGGGGCCTCAGTTCTTCTAATCTGAAAAACCTGTAACTTTGACTTCTAATACTGGATGTTTGGTGAAGGAACAGTCACTATCTATGTTTATGTCTTAGGTTTGATGCAGTAAACGAGAATCAAACCCGGTACTTCCACATCACAAATTAAACACCTTACCACTAATTAAGCTACCATGACAGGTAACGAACTAGATTAAATATCTGTAAACCATTGCTTAGTAGAAAATTAGTTGTTGTTTTAAACTCATCAATTGAAACAGAAAATATAGGTCACTTTTTTTATCACGGGGGTTAATTTGTTAACTTCTGATTAATAA